CACTGCTTTACGGTAACAACTTTGATATTTTCGGATTCGTCTTTCAATTTTCTACAAATTACTACTCTTTTACGTTTTTCGAAAAAAAGCCTGATTTTAGAGTAAAACTTAAAAAACGAACACTTCGATATTCGAATATGATGCTTTCTAAAATTACATAGTGGGCTGCGATAGCAACTTTGACATTCTGAGCAGTTAGAAGAAAGAATAAATAATGCTTTTCATCAGATTCAAGCAACAATTTTCGAACAAATTACATTTTCGTTACTAAAAAGATATCGGGTCTGAGTTCGTGGAAATGGAGGTATTTTTGAGCGAACAGTGTGGTGGTTTACTATAATGCGGATTTAACATTTTTCTCTCATTATCTGAAAATTCTTGTTTATATTTATTTGATGTCCTATAAATTATAATTTTTGCTCGCCGCAACAAAATTGCATAGTTTCGCAGAGACATCTCTGGTTGCAGCTATTAGTTTGTGCAAAGTTCATATATGAACTTTGGTTTGTGTATGGGATTTTATCTAAATGGCGGTGGAAAGAAAAGAGAAATGGACGGAATTCAATTAAAATGGTCCCGGTCGGTGGTGCAGCGGCTCTCGCGGATTACAGTGAAACCAATTTCGGGGCAAGCACACAGAACTGTGAGGATTATTGCTGTAGTCTGCTTAGTCTGTTCATTTGCTGATAACACGTCAACGGTTGGGTTTTAATTGTGTCGTAAGGACGCGCTGATAGTTTACCCGGGGATTAATATGTTTTGGTTTCTGGAGCGAGGTGATTTCTTTATATTTAACGTTATTTGCGGAATAATTGCCACCTTCTTGCAGAGGAAATGAAGCATGGAGTTAAATTTGAACACGTTACTTTCTTAATAAGTATAAAACTTTTTGTATAAAGTTATGCAATAAAAAAATTCAAAGGAGGCGACAATGAAACTTCAACAGCCAGAGAGGTAAAATATTCGTTCTCTTCTCGCTTATTTCAGTAGCATCGTCTCTGAAATGCACACGTCTAGGAAGAATTCCAATTAAAATATTTCACAGAAAACCCTCCATAACACGAGCACCAGCTACGTATTCGCTTCAAGCCGCATTTAAAAAAAAAGATAACTCTGCGGTTTCCAGAAAGTCGTTAGATTAAACGAAGTCGGCGTTTCTCGAGAGCGGTCTATTTTTTTTCACATAATAATGATATATCAGGACAATGCGTCTATATTCCAGGAAATTGAGTCTGATGGGGAACAACGCCTACAGCTGGGGCTAGTTCTTATCGCCGTTTCAGCAAAAAAAAACATGGGGGAGGGATGACTGCGAGCAGAAAGCGGGCAGAAATAGAAAAAATGCCTTCACTTTTACCAAACGCGAAGACTAGGTGAAAATAAATTGAAATTCTTTGCAATTTTTACATATATCTAAACGCTAATAAACAAACCGGGCCACCCTATTAAAAAAGTTTCAACAATCACATTAGGTACTGCTAATAGTGTGTTGTACGTCCCTGAGGGGTTCTATACAATTTCTCTCGGCTTTGTCCGACTCTTACCTCCTTGCCAAACTGGATTTCTTGGGAGTTGGCGTCTAACTTGACAACCGCTTATGTGATCGATTAAATTCAAAGAGGTAAACAGCGACTGGGATCAACAGAAGTGCTTTAGGGGTGTCCCTCAGGGAGTTATTCGGGGCCTCTTCGCAGACATAAAGGTCTGTAGTTAACAGTGGAGGTGTATTTACAGTCGCGGATAAAAGTAATTGTTTATTGGTCTACTTTCTATTGTCTTCGACGAGATTAAAATGAAATTTAGATATTATCTCAGGACACATCCTACGCAACCGCGTCATCCTTCGCTAAGATCCGGAATAATAAAAGTGTCCACCGATTTTTTTAAGGGCGATTTATCGGGGATAACAAATGTGCCGGATATCACACACAAAAGTGGCGAAATCGATACGCTGCCAGCCGATTCATCATCCCTTGTCAGATGTGAAAGGATTGTTAATGAACCATCGTCGATGGAGGATCTGGAATAAATTGAGTTATTAAGTATCGAAACTAGGTGCAATTAGGATTAGGGTACATTTTCGGGGCCCTTGGATGATATGGGAGCGGCGTTCTAGAGATAGACAAGACGGTTTATCGCTTTATCTTTCACCCAAAGCGGATATAGCTTAATCCAGTTAATGGTTCCTCAATTGAGGCAAATCTGAAAGAGGCCATTGAAAAAAATAGGGTTGGCATTCATTTTTATACATAGTACAGAAGTACAGAAAGGTCAGATTCGGTCTGTAGGGCTATGACAAGCTTATTGATATATCTGACTGAAAAAGAGCCTATTGTAACTAAAACTAATGGAATTAAGAAAATTATAGCAAAACCTACGATGCAGAAATACAATTTTATTAATGGGTAAACAATTTAATGACAAAACTTGGTAGGATGTTTACTGTTTTGTAAACTCCTTACTAATGGATTAGGTTTAGTTTAGAACATTTGTCCCATAGAAAGCTTGCAGTAAAAAAGTTCTATGTTCTGTGCTCTGATTTAAACAGCTTGTTTTGGCATAGATACCAGTTATTCCATTAAAAATATAATACAAATCTGTAGACATTTATAACTCTTTTGCTGATATTGATTCTATTTTATTGTGGGGGGTACAGGAAGTAAACAATTGCTAGCAACCAGGGAGTATAGGGGACGCGTTTAGGAAAGTTAAAACAGATACCTACTATTAAAAAGCGGTAAAATTTTAAACAAAATATAGTATGTTCTTGCTCTTTGTTCTTATTCAACCATTCATCAGCCCAATCGGTGCTAGACATCTTAAATTTGTCTAAAACAATATAAAACAACAAGAAAATTTTGCTGCGAATGATACGCACGAATGAAAACTATTATATGATGCGAAGGTCGAGTTTGTATGAAAGTTTGTCTTTCAGGGATTGCCGTTTAATCGGTATCGACCAATAGTTCCGCCCACCACGTGCTTGATCATTGTTTACGCGAGTGTATTGTGCAAATTCACTTTACACCTGATCGGATCAGATCAAAGATAAATATTTTAAGTTCGTCAAGCGTGGAAACAACTTTGGGAATGTCGATTTATTCGCTTTTTGTTAACTAATCTCATAAATGAAGTCTAGGGCGCGATCCTGACGCCGCACCTTTCATTATCCCGATGACAAATTATGGGGATAAGGGGGGCGGGGGGTTAATCCTGGGAAAATAACGTCTGGCGAGATGGATGGGCAGAGCGACCACTTGTCACTTTTTCGCCAGGGTGACAAATGTAGCCGCCGCCGCAAGGTGGCGGCCGTAAGGAGCCAGGCGTCCTAATAAAAATATAATAGTCCTGTCAGGACAATGGATAATAATGCGGGGAACGTTAAATTGCTAGCACAGAAAGTTTCTCGCGTGCAGCCGTCAGTTTTAATCGGCTTCGGGTGGTGCCAGTTCTATTAGCGAAACGCGTCTCAAGTGAAAAGTCGAACTTTAATTAAAATGAGTCTTTTTTTGTGGTGAAATCTAGTTTTTGTGAGATACCTACAAAAATATTAGAAAACTTCTCAATTAATTACTTTATTTCTAGGTATTTTTAAGTAATGATTTTTTTTAAATGTGTTTTTTTATTGTTGTATTGGTGGATTCGGATATACACAAAATAATTTTTCTTAATCAATTAAATATTGCTGTAACATGACAGTATCCGATGAACACTAGTTTACTCGTTTTATGATTAAATATACAATTCATTGCATTGTTGTCATTGTTGACACTGTTTTTAATTACCGTTCATAGGATATTTGCACTCTTTTAAATTCATTTACAGCACAATATACTGAATTTCGACAAATTTTAAAATTGCGACGGATGATTCGATCTAATCTCTACCTTTCTGCTTTACCCTTCACTTTATTCCTCTTCAGAACGTAGTGCAGATGTATGAAACCTTACAGAAACGTGTTTTTCTTTGTTTTCCAAAGAACACCTCTGTGACAAATCGCCCGATAGTCAACCGTGAAGCGGTAACCTATTCAGAGTCCAAGTAACTTCACCTCTCGTGATTAAGCGATCGGGATCCGGTGTCGGTTCAGCAAATTTTCGTTGTTTGCCGCCGTCCAAGGTGAGAATCCTATCGATTCCAGCGGGATTAGGGAAGATTCCGTGTACATCCCATTCGTCTAAAACAAAAACAAACCGACGACAGTTCCGTGCTCTGCAAACTAATGACGGACAAACGTTGTTGTGGCGTCGTTGGGCCAGATGAATTTTGTATTTTTTTTTTTTCATATTTCACAATCTACTAATTTATTTGAAATCGAGATAACAGACGGCGAAGGCGAAATACATTTATTAAGAAACGTGCTTTTAACGTAATTATCAACCAGTACAAAAAATCTGTCGAATTTAAGTCAGTTTACGTTTGTCCAAAATGTTATGCTTACATTTGTCCACATTGCTATGCTTACATTAATTCAAAATGCTATCTATGCTTAGATTTGTCCAAATAATGTTACGCTTATAATTGTCCAAAATTATATGCTTACATTTGTCCAAATAATATTATGCTTACATTTGTCCAAAATGCTAGGTACTTACATACATTTGTCCAAAATGCTATGCTTACACTTGCCCAAATAATGCTATGCTTACATTTGTCCAAAATGCTATATATAGGTACTTACATACATTTGTCCAAAATGCTATGCTTACATTTGCTCAAATAATGCTATGATTACATTTGTCCAAATCGCTTATGTAGGTACTTACATACATTTGTCCAAAATGCTATGCTTATATTTTCTCAAAATGCTATGCTTGTATTTGCTATGCTTACATTCTAAACGCTATGCTTACATTTGTCCAAAATGCTATTTTTTGGGACACTGAAAGACATTCGCGAATTACATAAAAAGTATGAATCGTGTAAGATAATTTTTGATCTAGTGTACAATTTTATGTATAAATTTTTAAAAGTGTAGTAATGTTTTCAATTTGTTACAGAACCTGAAGAACCAGATCATGACAACGAACCTGTGGGTGGAGCAAGTAAGTATTTTTATCTTTCTTTTTTTTTTATCGTATTAAATTCTAAACAGGGTTTGGTTAACTACCGGGAACGGGGTGCACATACCGAGGCTTAAATAGGTTATCTCTCAAAGTTTAAACGATGTTTTAACCTTTATATCTAGTAAAATGTTAACGCCCATTATTAAATAGGTGTCTGCCTAGGGTGTCTAGGGATATCGGCATGAATATTCCATTGGCCTTTCCACACTTGCTAGCTGCAAAATCGATTTGTTTTGCGGAGATTTAATTAAAAAATGTGTAATCTTTGTTCGTTTACTTTATTGGTGGCAAAGTACACAAAGTAAGAGACAAAACATTGAAAGAATTAATGTAAAAACGATTAAGCATAATCAAACAAAAAAATATACAAAATAATAAAATAAAAAGCAGTTGTTTACAGTTTATAGACACAATGACAACTACAGGGAGTTAGTATGGAAGAGGAGGCGGAATATGACTATTTTTATGTGGCAGAGGGGGTGGTATATTATTATTTCTTACGAGACGCCGCGTATAAGTAGCTCTCTGACAGTCGCTGGGGGAATAGTCGTAAGGGGGTTTTAATTAAATGTTGTTCAAGCCATTTACTTTTGTTTTGCTACGCGCCCGGACTGCTACGAAGGTGGTGGAGAGAGAATAAGTATTCAGCGGGCGCCGCGCTCATACTTCGTCGGGGAAAGAACGTGGGCGTTTCTCTGCGTTATTATTGTTTCATTTCCAAATTAAATGGGCAAAAAGTCCACCGCGTTCGACGGCTCCACCTGAAGTAATGATTGGGGCTTGTTTGTTTGGGCTTAGCGTTATTCAAATTTTAACAAACCGGAGGAACAAAGCTTCCCCGGGTTGCCAATCGAGGAAAGATTATTGGAAAGCGGTGGCGCGCTCAGAGCGGGAGTACCGTGAAAACTGAATCAGGAATTATTACGCGAAACTTAGGCCGACCCTGTATCGTCCCAGTATGGCGCGGTTTAAACAAGTATTTTTACATCAACAAGCACACTATAGAAGGTTTCTTGTTGCAGAGCTGGTACGACTACAAGCTGCGGTGGGAGCCGAAGGAGTACGGCGGCGTGCACATGCTGCACGTGCCCTCCGACCACATCTGGAGGCCCGACATCGTGCTGTACAACAAGTAAGTCGAGCTCCCTCTTACACTACTCGTCTACTCGGTGTCGTGTCAAGTAGATCTCTGTGTGTCTAGCTTGCCGACTAACGATTATTTTTCAGATAACTAATGTATTGTGTGTACCCCCCACCTCATACCCGTATCATCTCGAGACCGCGGCGATCGCAGAAATAATTCGCACGCCGCAACGGATGCATAAAAAGCCAAAATGTTCCTTTACTCTTTACTCCATTCGTTGGATAGTACCTTTCATCATATTTTTCCTATAATTCCCCCAAGAATACGCCAACAGTACTTTTATTTGTTGCTACAGAGTCAAAATACCGTACGTGCGCTATGTTCGTGATGATAGCTACTTGTAATATACGCAGCGATCATAGCAACCATGTCTAGCACAGCTGCGTGACAGTAATATTGGCTAATATTGGTTTTAAATGTACAACGAACATAGCTATCGAACATAGTTAGCTATCGTAGCAATTTGTGTGAAACAGTGATGGCTATTTTTTACTACCCATCATAGCGATGTAATAGGCATTGTACATGTAGAAATAATAGCGCTCTGTTTGATCGTAATATGTATAGATAACTTGACGAACGAACAAAGCGCTCTGTTTGATAAAACAAGCGGCTGCTTTTAATGGACATACCTACATAGCTCTGAATATTTTTAGTATAAAACAACAATGGATATATTTAATATGCATAGCGAACATAGCTAGCTTTGCGCTTTGTGCGTTCGTATTAGCTACTTTAACATACATAGCTAACGTAACAAACTAAGCTAATAAGGCGCTTTATATGATGTCGGCATGAAACAATGGTGACTATTTTTAATTGCGAACATAGCTAGTGTAGCATAGCGCTCTATGCGGCTAATGCCCATAGCGAACATAGCGAATACAACCTAGAGACCATAGTTACAAATCGAGATGTGGGATCTTAGCCTAAAATAATGGTGGCTGTTTTTAATATACATTACGAACATAGCTAACAATTTATTACTTTACTAAGTACATCGATCTAGAGAAAGAAGCGAATGTTGTTCTGAGCGTTCCAATATTGCACTGGTCTCGAGGGAAAAAAATATATCTATCGGTACCGAGATGTGGTATCTCGTATGTGGCATGTCGGGTCATTGCAAGTGGCGTTTTACCCTTAAAAGTATATTTATGGAGACAGAAAACAGACGCCTATACTCTGTCACGCGTTTGTTTTATACGAAAGCGAAATTCGGAATTGAGAATGTAATCGAAATGTACCTGGTGAAATGACAAACACGAGCGTCAATATGGGCGATAAGACGTCGCGTCGATTCGCGTCCGTATAGATTGGCTCGATTCCGAGATAACCAAATAAAATCGGATCTAATTTATCGACGGACGCATTTTCTTAACTCTGCGGACGGGGTTACGGTAATCCGGCTCTAAAATCCAATAAACCTTAATCAGCGGCCCTGTTCTGCACTATATATCTTTCAATTGTTCCTTTGGAGTTGTTAGCTCGGTTGCAGCGACGATCGCTATCGGATTGTAGTGAAAGGGATGAGAAATTGGGGTATGTTTGCGTTATTCCTGGGTTTTCTGAAGGAAAGTTTCTCTTCCAATATTAACAACATCGTTCGTAAAATGTAATCCTGCCTGACACCAGTTGGAGAATGTTTTAAAGTATACAGGGTGTCCCAATGTTCCATGTTCGTGACGATATGTCATTAGTTTAAGGGTTTTGTGAGGGAAACTGAGATAGAAGTGCGCGCGTGTTCGTGAAAAATGTCCGAATCATCAAACTTGCAGAAATATTGAAAGACTTCTTCTAGAAATTAATCAGCTTAAAGCCCTATCACCCATTGTGGGAAAAAAAATTCTAGAAATGATGGAAGAGAATCCGGCAACCACTGTCAGATTAATACATAGTCGGAAAACGGACAAAGTAACTGAAAGAAAGAGCGCTCGCAGCTGTTCGTCTGCAATCTGATATTTTACATCTCGAGGACATGTCGGCTCGCATAAAAGTCCTCGCCAGTATTATCCGCGGAAGTTTTCGCATATTCCCGACATTTCCGATAAAGAAGCTTTTACAAAGCTAAGAAATTCCCGATAGATTGCGGCGGAACAGTAAAAAGGATACGGATACGCGCCGAAATTTACCGTCAAACATCGTGTCGTGAATTCATTTTAATCTATTTTTGTTTAATGTCTCGTTTGAGCGACACGGAAAATATGCTTCCCTCGCTCGGGCTTCCCCCTAAGTGTGTTTGCCGAGTTCGAAAAGTTGTTTGGAATGTCAATAAAGGCCCTAAGGTGACGTTTATGAAAATTTGAAAGTATAATGCATGTATATGTGCAATATTTCACGAGATTTGCCTCTACCTCAATGCAGGGGTACTATTTTCAGGGATATGCGTGCCACTGCATACATTTCCATTTACACCCGGAGTGTAAGTGTTACGGCGGCCCGGAAAGTGCAAGAAAGTGCCGTAAAGCGGCAGTAAAATCAGAGGTTGGTTCGTGCTTTGCGGGATAATTTGTTAGATTGGAGAAGATGATATAAAACTTGGCCAGAATACTATTATAACTGTTTAATTTGCTTCAAAGAATTATAGCGTAGTCTTAATTAATCTCTTGGGGTTCCTTGATGACTTATAAAGGCTTAGTTTGTCGCACAGGTTTTTAATTATTGTGAAATGCTTTGAAAATTGTTTTGATATTTTCAAGGATTTCGACGTGTTTAGGTGTTTTCGAGGTATTTCTCTATGTTTAGAAGTATGTATGTATATTTTACAACTGTTTTTTTTTAAGATTCCACGAATTGCGGTGTGTGGAAGGGGCGGTGTACTAATACACAATATCTTGCTACTAGCAATATTTTTGACTTTATTATTCTACAAAAATATCGATATCCTATTTCTGAGTCAGCCCGCTGTGATTTGCGATGTTTTCGATAACTCGTAAACACCCCAACGCCCAGGTGGCCCCTGTTGTTTTCGCGTTCCAACTAGGTCATGCGGCGAAAATGCATCCGAGAACTGCACGTCGAGGGACGACACGGTAACAAGCGCGACGTTGTTCGGCGTCTCCACTTAGTAGAATAGTCGCTTGGGTATGTATGCTCTCATTCTTCCTTTCGGAAAAAAAGGGTTATATAGTGGCGTTGTCAGTAATATTTCAGGGAAGAGAGACGAGAAAGTCCAAGTTTATATCGTTTCCGAGCTAAAAGTAGTTGTAGTTTAATTAATTGTTGAGAATTTGTGAGAAACGAAGTTGTACTTTGATTATAATGTGTTTGTGCAAATTGAAATTAATAATATAACATTTTGACGCGTTCAGCGACAATTATTTTGACACCTCGTTTACTCTTACGTCACCAACACATGTAACAGAGGTAAACAACTTGAAGTCGTCTGGATATAAGGGAACATTAGTCAGAAAATTACCAGAAATATCATTAAAAAGAAACAATCTCATATTTTTGCAGATATCAGAACACGTATATTGAAGCATTGATAAATACCTACACATTATAGCTATATTTTAGGAATAGAAATAGGAATTTTAGAAATAGTATAGAAAAGGAAGACGAGAGTGAAGAGGATTTGATTTATACACCGTGTGTCCACCTAGTGTGCATAAGTCCAATATCTAGGTTAATAAAAGATATAACTTATTTTTTTTTTTCTACAGAATTGCCTACTTTCCCGAGCTGCACAAAATGAAAATATATTTCTATATACAGGGTGTTCAGTTTTAACTTGGCAGGTACCAACTTAATTTTTTTAAATGGAAACCTATATTTTTTATGGCATTATCGAATTCTACGTTATAATATTAT